CTCCTGGGCTCAAGCGAGTCTCCTGCCTCAGCCTCCCAAGTAGCTGGGACTACAGGCACCTGCCACAATGCCTGGCCATTTTTTTTGGTTGCAGTCATCATTGTTGTTTGGCGGGCTCGGGCTGGGGATTCGAACCTGCCACCTTAGGTGTATGTGGCTGGCACCTTAGCTGCTTGAGCCACAGGCGCCAAGCCTGCCAGAGTTCTTCTATTGGGACTGCACCATGTTTATTTTCCAATGTTTGGTTATTAGAACTGGGAGGGTGAGATTGAATTGGGGTTCCCAGGTAGTAGAGATAGCACCTTAACAAAGTGCTAGGCTTTGTAATTGTGGCTTATCTCCTACAACCTTACAAAGGCCCCTTTCAGAGTTTTGGCTGGAGATTCTGAGGACCTACGTGGTGAGATAGCGCAAGCTAGCTCTGTTTTGATATCAGCCAACCTCTACCCTCTCCTAAAAAACCACAGTATTAGGTTTAAATCTTGACTGAAGAGATACAAACAGCCATGGCACCCAGCCCCCACCCTTCAGTTCTTTTCCACTACAAAACTTTGAAAGTCAACCTCAGAATGTCCCCGAGTAGACAGCCCCAGACACAGGTTCCAACCAAATTGTCTCAGGCAGTGCAAACCCTGCCCAACAGAGAGGGATTCAAGGGTCTCCAACAGCACAACTGGAGCCAGGGATCCACACTTCCACCTGCCAGATTCAGTCCACACTGTTGTCCACTTCTCTGCTTACAAGCCCAGTTGGAGCCAGGGGCCACGACCCCACCCACCAGTCTCAGTCCACATCCAGCTGCCCTCTGCTTGCCAGACCAGTTGGAGTCACGGGACCATACTGCTGCCTGCCAGTCTCAGTCCACTGCCTGGCAAGCCTCTGTTTGCAGGCTCTGTTAGAGTCAGGACCCCACACTCCACCCATAGGTCTTGGTCCTCACCTGGTAAGCCTCTGTTCACCAGCCCTGCTGGAGACAGGGGGAGCACACCCTAGCCCTCAGGTCTTGGTTCACACCCAGTAAACCACTGCTGGAGGGTTCTGTTGGAATCAGGGGACAACATCCTTGTTCTCAGGTCAGTCCATGCCTAGTAAGCCTTTGGTCATAGGCCCAGCAGGGGCTGGGGGCCAGCCCTGTCTGCCAAACTCAATCCACATGGGCAACCACTCTACCAGTGTGGGTGCCATCAGAGCCAGTAGTTCTACACCCTATATTGCCAGACACAGCCCAAACTGAGGGTCAACACCACCACTGGCCAGGCATAGTCATAACCAGGGAACTGCTCCTCCTCCCACCAAGTGTCCCTTTCTTCCCACACCCTCTTCCCTGTTAGTCATAGAGTCCATCCTGATGGTTGGCAGTCCACACTATGCCCAGATCTCTCAGGACAAGACCAAACACTCTGTGCTCTGCAAGGGGTAGAACTTTAGACAGCTATGCAGGGGGCAAAGGGTGGACTGGGAGTTTTGACTTGTGTGGGGAAAAAATCAGTTCAATTTTATGGCTGGCAGGGTTGTGTCTAGGTTCATTAAGTGGGACCTCCCTGGAGAAAGAGACCTGGAGTTTACTGGCTCTCCAGTGAGGTAAAATGAGAGGTCTTTTGTTCCCTGCTCATTTGCAGATAGCCTGCAGTCAGGTCATGAGACAGAGACCCACCTGGGCAGGGCAAAGATGGTGTCTGCACCCAGGGTGGTTGGAGGCCTATACTAGGAAGTTGGAGACCTATACTTGGCATAAAGGAAGATTCCATAGCTTGCTGGAGAGGTTTTGGTGGGCTAGAGTCTTTCTGGTGGAAATCTTGGGGCAGGGCCAGATAGGCCTTTCATTTTAGGAGAGAGGGAGGGGAAGTTAGGTCCCCAACACCAGCCACTGATTATATGAAATCTACTTTTCACCACATATCATAATGTGATGGAGAAATGGTTTGTTGTTCTATAGAATAAGAGAAGATGATACTTGAAAATGACAGTTCCTCTGATTTTTTAGTCAGTTTATGAGGCACCCACTTATCAAACTTTCTCAGCTTTCCAATTTGCTGCAAATACCAACTGTAATGGGCCACATTGAGTTCTTTGGCAACTTCTCATGTTGTCAGAGGATTACCTTCAGTGGGTGATCTCAACTGGTCTTTATTAACTTCTAATGGCTGGTTGCTTCGCTCCTCATCTCCTTTGCAAAGCTTCTTGAACCACTACAGCACCATACACTCATCAGCAATTCCTGGGCCAAATGCATTGTTGATGTTGTAAGTTGTCTCTGCTGCTTTACAACACATTTTAAACTCAAATAAGAAAATCTGCTGGGGGCCAGTCATGGTGTCTCACACCTGTAATCCTGGCACTCTGGGAGGCCACAGTGAATGGATTGCTTGAGCTCAGGAGTTCAAGACCAGCCTGAGCAAGAGCGAGACCTTGTTTCTAAAAATAGCCAGGCACTAGGGTGGGCACCTGTAGTCCCACCTACTTGAGAGGCTGGGGCAAGAGGATATTGTGCCCAAGAGTTTGAGGTTGCTGTGAGCTATGACACCTCAGCACTTTACCGAGGGGAACAAAGTGAGACTCTGTCTCAAAAAAGAAAAAAAATAATAAGAAAATCATCCAAATTTGCTTTTTGTCTAACATCATTTCCTGAGTCCAAAATAAATATTAACAGCAATAAGTCATTATCAAAAATAATAAAGTGAGAAATTCACATTTTTATTTATTCACATTCACATACAAATTCACATGTATAATATAGCCACATTTATTTAAGAATGTCAGTATCAAACAGCAAATTTCAACAATGCAAAAACTGCCATTTCTTTTGCACCAACCTGATACTTCTCTTAGCCTCAGTTTCTCATCTGTTAAAAGGGACTGCAATACCAATCATATGAGGTGGTCATGCTATAGCACTGAGATGAATTATGGAAATTGTTCTACAATGTCTTTCACGGAATTCAAAAAACTAGGTTCTTTCATGTACTCATTTCAAGACATCATGAGTAGGACTTGATAATTATATTTGGATAAGTTTTGATTACTGTGGTCAAAAAAAGATAAGATGTTGACTCCTGCATTACAAAATTTTGCCCAACCATTGGCATTGTCTAGCTGGATGAAAATTTTCACATACACAAAATGAATTTGAAACTTTTTGTCCTCTAAGGAACATTTTTTACATGATGAAACAGGTAGGGACACAACTGTGACACCAGATAAAGAACAACAATCTAAAGCTGGGAGAGGTGGTTCACACCTGTAATCCTAGCACTCGGGGAAGCTGAGGCAGGAGGATTGATTGAGTGCAAGGGTTTGAGATTTCTATGAGCTATGATAATGCCACGACACTCACATGGCACTCAACCCAGGGCAACAGAGACTCTGTCTCTAAATAGGCAGGTAGCTAGGTAGATAAATAGATAAGTAAATAAAATCACATCAAGTTGTACATGAAAATAAAAACCCACCTAATTATCTCTAAGTCCAAAAGACATTATAATGGAATGAGAAAGGTTTTTAATAACCACACAATTGTTTAAAAGTTCTATATAGCTGAAAAGGTACAAAACAGGATATTGTCTTGTGTTTATGTCTATAAACATGAACTAGAAATTAATACCCTAGGAATTACTATTAAGGCTGAGATACTTAGAAAGCAATGATGACCATATTCAAGAGATTGCTCCCATATTCTGAGTTTACTTGTGCAAGATAAATGCTATACCAGAAAGTTTTCTCACATTCTCTACATATATAAGGTTTCTTACCAATGTGTTTTTTTTCTTGCACTAACAATAAGGTTTTAAGGTTAAATGAACACTTTCAAATATTTATTGTGTTTTTATTCTCCAGCATGTGTTTTCATATGTGCTTGAAGGGATGTAAGATACCTGAAGGTTTTCCCACACTGCTTGCATTCATATGGTCTCTCACCAGTGTGCATTCTCACATGCACTCTTAGAGATGAGGAACAACTGTAGGCTTTCCCACATTCAGTACATTCATAGGGTTTTACTCCACTGTGTGACTTCACATGTTTTTGAAAATACTGAGAATGGCTGAAGGCTTTTCCACATTGCTTACATTCATAAGGTTTCTCTCCACTATGTGTTTTCACATGTTCTCGAAGGGAGGAGCGACAACTGAAGGCTTTTCCACACTGCTTGCATTCAAAGGGTTTCTCTCCAGTGTGTGTTCTCACATGTATTCGAAGGGACGAAGAAAAACTGTAGGCTTTCCCACACTCCTTACATTCATAGGGTTTCACACCACTATGTGTTTTCACATGTCTTCTAAAGTAAGTGGGACAGCCAAAGGCTTTTCCACACTGCTTACATGTGTAAGGCTTCTCTCCAGTGTGCATTCTCACATGTGCTCGCAGGGATGATGGATACCTGAAAGCTTTACCACATTGGCTACATTCATAGCTTTTCTCTCCACTATGTGTTCTCCCATGTTCTCGAAGAGATGAGTAACAAGTGAAGGCTTTTCCACAATGTTTACATTGACAGGGTTTCTCTCCAGTGTGTGTTCTGACATGATCTCTAAAAGATGAATAACAACTGAATGTTTTTCCACAGTGCTTACATTCATATGGTTTCTCTCCAGTATGTGTTCTAACATGTTCTCGAAAGTATGAGGGACAACTGAAGGCTTTCCCACATTCCTTACATTCATAGGGTTTCTCTCCAGTGTGAGTTCTTATGTGTCTTGTGAGGTAGGAGTGATACATGAAGGTTTTTCCACATACTTTACATTTATGTGTTTTCTGTCCACAATGACCTTTCACATGTCCCCTAAAAGAAGAGGGACAAGTGAAAACTTTCCCACATTTCTTGCATTCAAGAGATATTTTACTGCTGAGATTTTTAACATATTTCTTAGAGGCTCTCCCAGAGTCCTGAAATTTATAGAGTTTCTGTACAATGTGAGTTTCTACGTGAGGGCTTTGGCACAAGAGACAACTGCAGGCTTGCCCACATTCCTCACAGTAGTAAGGTCTCTGTCCAGTGTGAGACTTTCGATGATTCTTGAAGGCTTTGCCGCACTTACTACAATCATTAGCCCTAACTTCTGCAGGATAACTCTTGAACATAACAAGGTTCTCAATCTGGCTCAAGGTTTCCCCACATTGATGACTTTCACTATTTTCACAGAGACTCTCCACCAACTGGCTTCTGTTTAAAATAGTAAGCACACTATTAGTTATTACTGATTATAAATGATTTACTTATTAGTGATTTATTGACAGTTAATGATTATTTTTACTACATATTTGCCGTTTCCACTGAATGTATATTTTCAGCATCATTAACACTGTTTCCAAGTGGAACAAGTTTAACACTCTGGGTGGTGGCATGACTATAGCTATAACTGTAATAGTATCTGGTACATATAGGATTCTTGATATTGTTTCAGACACTTAACAACATCAAATTTATAAAAATACTATCTTACGAAAATTCGCTATGAGTACACAATTGGTTAGCTAGGTTTATACTTATTCTTTTTGGCATTCTGTTTTTGGAGACAGAGTATTGCTCTGTTACCCAGGCTGGAGTGCACTGACATCTAATGATGTAGTTCACTGCAACCTCCAACTCCTGGGTGCAAGCCATCCTTCTACATCAGCCTTCCAAGTAGCTGGGACTACAGACACACACTACTATACCCAGCTAATTTTTTTTTTTAAATAAAGACAGAGTTTCACTTTATCACCCACAGTAGTGCCGTGGTGTCACCCAGCTCACAGCAACCTCCAACTCCTGGGCTTAAGTGATTCCCTTGCCTCAGCCTCCCAAGTAGCTGGGACTACAGGCACCC